AGGGGGAGAGGGGAGAGAGAGAGAGAGAGAGAGAGAGAGAGAGAGAGAGAGAGAGAGAAATATGAAGTAGCTCGAATCTTCAGGCATGGAATTGCATGTCTTCTGTTAACAGTATTTTTTTTTTTTTTTGGTAGAGGGTAGGAACCTTCCTATTGAATTGGCAAAGAGCAGGGGCAATGAAGCATTATTTGAGTATTAATTTCTATTTTAGCTACAACTTTACCACTTTATTACCAATGTGTCTTGATATTTTGCAAAACAGGTGAACTATACATGTTTGTTTCTTTATGAAAATAAGCATTTGGGAAGGTCTTCGGTTTTCAGCGAAAAAGGTTACTTCAATGTGAAACTAACATAGTAGTCAAGAGTTAGGAGTTAAGTTTAATCGGGTCCTTTTTCATACATAGTTAGCCTATAACTGCTTCATATCTAATTTACACCAACATGTGATAAATACATAACCAAAACCAGAATGCCCATTATTAGCAAATCTAGTAGACGATGTCTCTTGTAAATGATGGATTGCCCATTGATTGCTGCTCAGAGAATTAAAACAAACTTCAATCTTCTTTTTCTAAGCTGAGTTCTAAGAAAATCCTCACTCTCAAGAGCAACCAGTCCGCAAAGCAATTCAAAGCCATTCATTCTGGTGAATTGCAATCAGTCATCAATAAGTATTTATTGAAAGCCCACAGGGTGCCTAGACATTGAAGTGGTAAGTGATTTATTTGCATCAAAGGATTTCTAAGGGATGTGCAGACGTCTTTCAAGACTCCAGGTGATGCGTGCTTCTCTAACTTTAACTGTCCCTACTTGGATAGATTGGAAAAGTCTGGGTTTCGGAGCTCCCCAGCTTTGCACGCGATGCCCCCGCCGGGGGCCAGGTGACAGGCGGGCCGGTGGTCAGAACCTGGCCCCAGCTGGGGCTGCAGGCCTGGCCAAGCCCTCCGCCAGCAGGTGCGGGCCGACCGCAGCGACAACTGCGCTGACCCCCGCCCCCATTCCGCCGCCCGCCCCGTACTCCCACTCCCCGCACCCAGCTCACACCAGCTCCCAGTCTCCCAGCCTCGACCGGTTCTCGCGAGATCCCGGCGACTGAGCGCTCGGGGCCTTTTCAAATCGGGATCCGTTACCGCTTCCCCGGCCGCCGCCC